CTATTTGCTTGCCAAAATTCATCATTTTCCCGCAAGCGGTTCTATGGGCTGCCAAGGGTTACACTAGGTTTTGTATTGTACAAACAGATACAATAGGTTTCTTCACACCTTCGGTGCTTGGCCCCTAATTGAGCAACACGACTGTTTTCAACATTAATAATAATAAATGTTTCATGAGCAGCAAATCATCATATTAGAATGATTCCTGAAGGATCATGTGACACTGAAGACTGGAGTAATGATGCTGAAAATTCAGCTTTGCATCACAGGGATAAATTACACTTTAAAACACATTAAAACGGCTATTTTAAATTGTAATAATATTTCACAATATTACTGTTTTCTATATTTTTGATCAAACGACACATCTGTATTGAGAATAAGATGAGAATAATAACTTATCAAAAATAAAAATAAAAACCCTCACCAACCCAAATCTTTTTATAAAGATTATAATGAGATTATACAAATATATTTCTGAAAGAGTGTAGTTTAGTCCACATGCTTTGACATGTTGAGGTGCGGCACTCATACGGGCAACGGCAGTTCGAAATTTGTCTCGCCAATCACTTCCCATCCTCTTTTGACTGTCATGCCTGATAAAAAGGCCAAACAAACCACTGACAGCATCTGGCTTGCCTTCTGCAGAGCTCAGTTTTGGCACAATTGCTGCTGTGGATGATCCGAGGCATTCCTGGGCCTGGATGATGATGGGGGAGATGGTAGCGGGTCGGTTTCAGCATGCGAGTCATCAGGGTGTACTGTTAGCTGCAGGCTCTATGATATGGTCAGCACTTTATCAAGCCCCAGAGAGAAACCTCCCCTGACCCTTATCACTGCATCACAGTGTAGCAGTAAACACAGCGTGTGTCACATGGGTTAAACAGGAGCAGGGCGGCAGAAGGGGCTTGTTCAGCCCCCCTTCTTTCACAGCCAGCATGCACTCCGGCAACAGGTTTGTTTGACGATCCACGATAGTGATTGTGCACTTTTCTTAAAGGGATAGTTCACCCAAAATAATCATTCCGTCAGTGTTTACTCACCCTCATGTCGTTCCAAACCTGTATGACTTTCTTTCTTCTACAGAATACAAAATAAGATCGTTTGAAGAATGTTGGTAACCAAAGTTAGTTTTGGTGACCATTTTATGGAGTATGGACAAATTAACACTGAGACATTTCTGAGACTTAGACAAAAAAAATGATTTTATGTTCCACAGAAAAAAAGAAAGTCAAACAGTTAGGGCATAATGAGAATGCAATTTTTAAACTAGCCTTTATTTTAAAAAAAAAATTAAAAAACCTATTCATTTCTATTAATGTTTTTGGTGATTACATTAAATTATTATTAAATTGCCAGTGGAAATTTGCAATAACATATATGGCCAGATTTACTAACAGCTTGCACCAGCGCAAACCCTCTTTTGGTGTTAAAAACTACTGTCAGGATTTACTAAAGATACACAGTGAAAAATTTGTGCTGAAAAGGCGTGGACACCGTTATTTTTGCGGATGACCTTATTGCATATGCATTTGTAGGAGTTTCCATTTCAAACGCAAAATTTATGGGAGGAGAGTTTTTAAATGAATCACGCTAGGTGATTTACTAAGGTTTGCGCTAGTCAATTTACTATTTGCGCCGTCATTTACCAAACAAAAAAGCAAGATGGCAGCGATTTAGCATCTTAAACCAGACGCTACCTGGTAGATTGCGTTGGTCATTATGGAAATGATCCGGTGTGTCTGTGTTCTTTAATTTGCGCGTCGCCACTAGATCATGCGCAGAACTTTCCACTCCCATCAGCGCTGTTTTAGAATTGTACTCTCACGCTTATTTGCCTTGTTTAATAAATATGCCCCAAATGCTCCAATATTTTTTTATTTTAAGTATTTTTAAGTAATCCACTGACCCATATAAAAAAATAAAGTACATTTTAAGTTTTTAGCATATTTTATGTTCCAGAGATAGATGACTGCACTGACTACATACATAATACATTAGACAAAAAGGTGTATGTGTGGAATCTTTTCAAGAATGTGCAACATTTGGCCTAAAACAGCACGGAAGTTTAAAAAAAATCATACTTTTGCCATGTTGATTAGAAGGCTTATCATCAGGTTACACATGGTTTGTAAATTTGATGACCACAGATAGCAGTCTAGAGCTGATTTGACTAGATTATAACTTGGCTTCTCTCATACCAGAGTAGAGAACATGACCACCATTGGCAGACCGAAGGGTTCACAGAAAGCCAACTATGACACCCAAATTGAACAGATACTGTGCAGAGCAGAGAAATAATCAAATTATCCACTTAGGAGGAACAGCTAAATGCCCCAAAACACTATGCGCCCTCATCAGTGTCAGTGCATTGTGCAAGCATCTTTACAGCCAACATTCAAACACACTCAGTTAAAGTGTCTGTCTCTCAACGTATTTAGCATTACGAAGTCTGATTCATTGATTCTGATTCTGATGCAATAAAAAACACATTCAGTGT